AATTTTTTGCTGAGCAAGGTAAATTTAACACGTTAACCGCCAGCATGCAATATTGGAACTTCCCCCTAGCGCCAAGACTTCTACGCGCCAAAATGTCTCAGCTGGTCAGGAACAGCTGCAAGGTAAGGTGTGTATGTGTTATACTCTCTGTCTAGTTTCTTCTAGAACAGAGTAAACCATGAGACACATGTGGTAGATAAGGATGTTAAATAATCTTCATTTTCCTTCAGCGCCATGTGTGCCACCAGTGGTACAAGAGATTAGGGTACATTGGTGCCTTTATTACTGGCTTATATTGCGACAATAGACACAGTACACATTGGATCATAATTATTTGGCCACCAGTGGTTATAGTTTTGAGCTCTCAAAAAATATTTTTTATATTGTAGTTAGTAAGTAATGATTTTCATTTGTTAGTTTGTTATTTTTAATGACGCCAAGACTTATTACATACGTTTATTTCATTATTCCATTATTTCACTCCCTACTCCTAATTGCTCAGCATTACGATAACAAATTTCATACCAAGAAACCCTTGTCGATGAAAAAATTCTGAGAATCTATTGCTCACTCACTCATAACAGGAAACTGGAACAAAACGAACGCAGGACGAGAACCAGCTGTTATAGGCGGGAAGAGAAAGTTTCATTACCTTGTCGAGTTGGAAGATCCATGTTGGAATGTGAGAAAAAGATGTAGAGGGTGTTACAAGGTGCTGTTGAAAAATGAAAGCTGCTCAGTTGCAGCTGCAAAAGCAAGAAGAGTGAAAGCAATCTGCCTTTAATGCGAAAATAAGCCACATTTATGCCCTGGTTGTTTTGAAAGAACCCACTCTCATATGTAATGTCTGATGTCTAATGATATTATTGATTCATGCTTCATGGGTAATTTTCCAAAAGGTAAACTCACTAATTATGATCACCAATTTATGCGGATTATTTGTTTTATTGGAAGATTTTCCTTTCTTACCATTGAATTTTAGGTTTGAGGAAGAGTCTGATTTACGGAACAAAACTTTAGTTATATTTCGTTTGAAATTTGTATGAAACTATTTTTTTGAATAGTTATGCCAATAAATAAATAAATTACAACACTTGTTTTGATAATGCATCCTTCTAGCCATGAAAAATGAGTGAAAAACAAATTTGAAATTAAATTTGTAAGAGATCCACCAGTGGTACATATGACATTCATTGAAAGCTTGTTTTGTGCCACCGGTGGTACATGTGGCGGTTAATGTGTTAATCAAAATTTGTTTTTGTTAATTAATTTTTTTGTTAACTGGAGCCATTGCTAACCAAGGTTCTAAGTAAATGTGTTTTTAGGGGCATCCCTTATTACCCTGGGGGTGTATCTGATTACCCGGTCTTGTGGAAATGGCCGCCATTTTTCATGGAATGACATACAAATTCTGTCAATCAAGTTTATAAGCCAACACCTGTGTGCAACTGTTATGTAAGTAAAATTTTTAAATATGGCAAATATTTTTTTATGCTACAGATTTTAGCAGAGGTACTTTTCTCAAATTCTCACTTTTCACACTTTTTTTTCAAGGATTTTTTAGAGGAATTTAGAGCCGTTATGTATAGTAATGTAAATGTATGATTTCTCAACTTGCTTTATGCTACATAGATAGTAAAACGTTGAACTTTATGCCACTACCTTTATTTAGTTTAGCAAAATTTTGATTAGTTTAGCTGCTACAACACCTTATTACCCTGTTTGACAGTACCTCTGCTAAGGTCTGCAGCAAAAAAATATTTCCGCAGTATTAAAAAATTTTACTTACATAAAAGTTGCACACAGGTGTTGGCTCAGGCATAGAATATATCTACTTGGCAAGCTGCAACTAAATTTTTGAGCCATGGTTTTAAGGATTTGTCAGCTGTGATTCAATTTTTTCAAGCCATGAATTCCATATTTAGGCCACAAAAAGCCATTTACAAGGCTCAAATTTATTTTAAAATTCCATTCACGTGTTATCCCAAATCTCTAATTTTACCCTAAAACAGTCAAACAGCAACAATAAAATTTTTCTTTAGTTTAAGCTGAACACTTGTTAATGCAGCCTGGCTGCTTTGACGTGACCGCAACTATGCGTGATCTTCAACAAAACATTTAGGTTGACTTGTTTACATTACAATGATTACGTTCTGCAGGATATTTTGGTGGGAACGATAAAACAATGCGGATTGCGAAGTTGGAAATTTTATAAAATGACATGTTTGCAAAGTGCAAACCATGATTTCTTCAATTAAACAAAAATTTATGACATTTACGCTGCAAGATTTCATACCTACTGAAATTATGATATTAGAGCCGAAAAAATAGGACTTTTCCAGCCCTGTGTTGGCTTACAAACATGATTGATGATGACATGATATCTCATTCCAAAAAAAGACCCATTTCTGCAAGATGGGCCATATGGTAATAAGGGACAGTAAGGACACCCCTAAAAAGGCCACTGTGTAGAGAGTGGATTAATATTGCAAGATCTTTGACAATGCTTCAGTAGCAAAATTTACGCCTTCAGAAGATCTTGCCAACACATTTAGATTGAAATTCTTGCATTTAATACATTTGTCAGTCTTTGGCCAACTATTTAGAAAAAATTAAGGTTTCCAGCCATGGTCAGGAAGATGTGCCAGGTGCGCGGGAATTTATTTTGTCATTTTAACGACCTGCGCGGTGCGCCGTACTATGCTGGTAAAAAAATGCGCCGTGCGCCATACTTTAGAAAGCTAAAATAGTTTAAATATGGACGCGCGGCAACGCAAATTACGCAATTGCACTGACCATACACACAAACGTGTAGGTATCCGCATTGTGTTGTGGTTGGATATGAGTTAACTAGATTGCTAACGCGTCAACTCAGGTTCTAAGAGTCAGCACAGTTATGAATATTCATTCATAGATCACAATTCAATTGGACACGAATTACAAAACTAAAGAAGGCAACATGGCTCTAGATGTGCCATCGGTGCCTTGTAATGAATGACTGGAGTCTGGACTGGTTGCGGCAAGTAGGGTATGAGTCAACAGTACGAACTTTAGCAATCTAGTTAACTCGTATCCAACCACAACACAATGCGGATACACGTTTGTGTGTACGGTCAGTGTGATTACGTAATTTGCATTGCCCCGCGTCCATATTTAAACTATTTTAGCTTTCTAAAAGTACGGCGCTGTCGGCGCATGGCGCATTTTTTTACCGGCATAGTACGGCGCACCACGCAGGTCGTTAAAATGACAATATAAATTCCCACGCACCTGGCACATCTTCCTGACCATGGTGGTCAGGAAGATGTGCCAGGTGTGCGGGAATTTATTTTGTCATTTTAACGACCTGCGCGGTGCGCCATACTATGCTGGTAAAAAAATGCGCCGTGCGCTATACTTTAGAAAGCTAAAATAGTTCTACTATTTTAGTCGACAATATACGCGAGTATATTGACTACGCGAGTTAAACTGACAATAATAAAATGTAAGACATGTCCGGGTTACTTCTGACTCTTCCGCTTGTCTGCCTTGTCGGATACGGAACGTACGGTAATCGTAAACTGCGGCTATTATACATACGAAATGTAAACAGACAGTGTTCAGTGTTGCCATATGACTTTGGAGAAAATTTCTTCTAAAATAAAGTTCTAGATTTCTCATTCACCAAATTTCCGTATCAAGAAAAATCATATATTAATGAAAGATAATTAAAGGCATACTGTACTGAGTATTACGTCTGTTCCTCCACAAACTGCTCGTGCGCGACAGCGTGATGTAGAATTGATGGCCGAGATTGCACAAACACGTGCGCGAAGAGAATCAATTTTCATTACATTGTGCCAACTGTGCACAGCAATAGCTTAAAAAAAGTGAAAACGCGCGGGAAAATTCACCGAAAACATACATCATCCTGAGTGTGGGTTTCCAGTACGTTGGATGGATCAGGATGCAGTGAAGCTTGTCCGGAAATTAGTTGTGATGAGCTCCCGCCTCCCGGCTTCCTGCCATAATATCCTAAGGCCTAAGCAAATGTAAACAACAAGTTTATGATTGCATTATTGTGGTCACATTAGAGCAGTCAGACTGCATTATCACTTGTTCAGTTGATACTTGCTAATTGCTATACAATCAGACTGTTTTTAGGGTAAAATTAGTTATTTGGGGTAACACATGCATGCAACCTTGTAAATAAGTTCATGGCTTGTAAATAGTTTTCCATTACTCAGCGTAAATGGCTCTTCATTAAAAATAACCCGGCGACGCATCTTGAAAATGGTTGACAACAATTTGGCCTTAAAAACCCATATATTGGCGACGCTGCTTCCCGCCTCTGCACCCTGGTAAAAAAGCATTAACAGTAGAACATTGATTAGAAAAGGCTCCAGACTCCAGTTAACAAAAAACCAATTAACAACAACAAATTTTCATTACATTTATCTTTCTCTAAAATTCTCAGCTCAGCAGAAAAAATTTCACATAGCTAACAAAAAATTAATGCATCATTCATTCATTGCTCATCACAGAATTGTGCATAGAATGTCACAGATAGAATTGTGCACTGGGAAACATAGAATAAAAAGTAATTGATATATTGTGTGATTATTTACTGTGATATATTTCTCTAAAAAAATATGTTGTTCTCACTAAAATCTTCCTTTCTTTTTCAGGCATGTTCTGTAGTAAGTTCACTTGACCCAATTAAAATGGTTTGAAATTACAAGCTGTCCTGTAAGCTTACAGATACAGAAGAAATGCTATATGGCTGCTGATATGAAGCTTGCAGTGGAATGAGTGGATTTTTGCCAGATGCTCACAGAACATCTCGCAAAAATGAAAACAAACAATGAACTCAAACTTGTAAGTCTGCAAATCTCCAAATTATAATAAATTGTCAAATTTAATAGGACAATATCCAAAATGGGTCAAACAAAAATTAAAACCATTTATTTAAAAAATAATCAGGAACTAGGCGTGATAAAATTAGTACTTGCATCACTCACTTGAGAATATATAAATATTTCACTGTTTCCGCGCAAGCCACAGGTATGGCATTTTCGTCAACACGGAAAAGAGAAATTTCTTACATCCCGGTTTTCGTAAATTTTCGGAATGAATTGACCGTTTTTCATAAATTTTGAAAGCTCCAGAATATAAGTTGTACTTGATGCTGCAACCATAAAATCAAATTTATATTCATGATCAATTTTATTTAGTCTGTTTATTTTGTAAAAAAATTGATTTGAGCTACTCCGCATAATGATGTGATATTTTCGTATCAATAATAATTTAATTGGAAATCTAGATAGGTTAATGCTAAGAAAAAAAACTTTTTCCCAAGTAAATATTGTTTATATGAGCAAATGCATAACTAAGTTGTACGACGCACATATTTAAATATATTTAATCTAATGACGAATTATAATCCGCGACACCGGAGTCGGATTGCTTACAAGCTGGGTGCCAGTCAGATTGTGTTGTGGTAAAATGAATTGCTAGCTATGGCTTTTATTATTAAATTGATGCTTTTATTTGTATTTACAAATTTAATTTCAGTTACTCAATGCAAGGATTTAGTTACTGCTAGAAATGAATTGGCTGGCCGTGTTCAACAACGTTTGATTGGCGTTAATGTTCTCAAGGGACATGAACGGCGTCGGCGAGATGTTATATTGATGGGCAAAGAACCAAGTGCTCCAATCACAACTGTTGTAAGTCTTCTTTGAAAAATTTTGTTCAAGTTTATGAATTTCCTTTTTTAGAATTATATAATATTTAAGAATCATCCAATGTTTCCACAACCTTTTAGAGGCTTTTACCAAGCCAATCAAGCCAAACCAAGGCAATCTTTGTGGCGGCAGGCCCAGGATTGGAATTTTCCTACTTGTTTCTGAAATCTCGTGGCTCAAACAGGCATAGTGACAAACCAGAGACTTTTTAGAATCAGTTCATTTTTAATTTCCTAATTTTCTCAAGATTTAAATCAATTTCTTATGTATGATAATGCTGGTAGGGTAAACGCGGTATATTCCGACCAAGGTGGCATTCCATAGTATAAATAAAAGAACATGAGCTTTTGGGAAATTGGAGCGCTCTGTCATAATTGGAGCGTCAAGGTCACTACACCTTCCCCCACGAATTCTACTCCACAACTGCGGGCGGGCTGCGTGCTGCAGCTGG